TAGCAAGTGCCTTTAAGAAGCTTGTTTACAATTCAAAACTCTTTATTAATTCAGTTTCTTATTTTATAATAAAATTTACTATAGATAATTAAAAAACATTATCTCAAATAACAGTATTCATTTAATATCACTAACTAATGTAATTCCTTTTATTCGAATATTTATGTTATGCCATTTATAAACCAATTCAAATAATAACAGAGGCTCAAAAATGCATGGGCACTCGTTAATTAGTTTTTAAAATATTTGTGCTTTATTAATACTCGTTTACTATGATTTTTTTTTTTAATATTGGTGCATTATTAATTGTTAATCTTTATAATTCTGATTTTAAAACTTTTTGCATGGTTATTGAGCTTGATGCCGAATAATGCCCAGGTTATATGACAATAAGTTAATCCAAAATATTTTTTTTAAAATTTTTATAAATAATCAAAATAATATTATTTCATAAAATTAATAAACAAATTAACAGATTTTAATTAAATCAATAAAGTTAATCCCTCCTTTTTTTAAAAACCATTTAGTGTTGCCGTCGTTTTTGCTTCTTCTTCTTCTTCTTTTTTTAATCACAAAGAAAAGATAATTTAATTAGTCAAATAACTTTACCTTTTGTACTGGACTCCACATATAATTTTATTTCAAATCATGATTTTATTAAATCAAAATTAATATTTTTTTGTATTCATAAAGATATACTTTTACGTTTAAAAATTCATTTTACAACAATTTTAAAGCCAAGCCTTTTTGTTTATATCATATAAGTTAGTACATCGAATTAAATACTAGGAAAACTACGTGACTACAATAATTAATCTTTCTCCATGTAAGATGTCCATAGAAGAAAGGGAAAGAAAGGAAGAACTCCTATCCTTTTCTTCACGTGGAAATACAAATCAAAGATACTATCCATGAAAGAAACACAACAAGAACTCAGTGAGTTGAGAAATAGTTCGAAAACTCCATTGACTTTGCTTCGTAGTTTAATTAGGGCATGAAAATGAAGCCTCAGTACTTGTTTAGTCAAGCAGCCTCCTTGCTCAGCTCACACACGCATCTAAAAAGGAAGCAATTCTGCTCTGCACTCTCAATATGTCCTTGATTTGTAGCAAGAAACATGCATGGAATTCTTTGAAAGCTACTTTGCCTTTGCTGCTTCATCGTCTTTTGTTGACAAGTGAACCAAATTCTAAGTGCGATAATTGAGCTCATGATTTCTCCATAGTCAATAAACACTCGAGTTTTCGAGCATTGTTTATTATTTGCAGCCCTCCTTTGGGTGTCCATTTCGAAACTCCCCATCCTTTTAGAACGTGGAATCGATGTAGATACTACACTACATGTTTTTTTTTTAAAATCTTTTTATTGATTTTTTAGTAATTAAAATAAATATTTTTAAGAGAGGGAATGGCTTAAAATATTGAGAAATTAAAATGTATTCATGTAGTGAAGAACTTCTTTCTCATTCATGCATTTTTGTTTGGATAAAAATGTCTCTTTCTTTTTATTTAACAACATCATGACTCTTTTTTTTTTTTTATAAAAAAATGAAGGCAATTAAAATGATTGGTCGGTCGCAAGAATTTCAATGGAAATCAAGAGGGATAATATATTCCTCTAATAAAGATTATTTCTTTTTCTTTTTATCTTAAAAAATATATCTTTTTATAAAAAAATTATACATATTAGATTCATATATAATTTATAATAATTAGTATTATCATAAAAGCTCTAATGTTATTTTAAAATAATGACATAATCAAATGATTTTTTAAACATAACTTTACCAATTTTACTTAAAAAAGAATTTTATTATAAAAATATAAAAAATAAGACAATTAAATAAATAAATAAAAAGAGTGAAGGAGGTCAAAAGAATAAATTCCTTTAAGGGTAAGCCCATAGTTGTTTTTTTTTAAAAAAAAAACTCAAACGGCAACATATCATTGGTTTTAGCTTCTTGTTTTTTTTAATAAATAAACAACATATTATATCCGTTAGTAATAACATTACCTAATATAACTATAAAGATATTTTAGATTTTAAAACTTAAATTTTAATATATTTTCATATAAAAACACTTTATAATTTTCAATCACTTCACTTGCAACTTCAAAACAATATTTATTTAGTCTAAAATCACAACAAAAAAAAACAAAAATTAAAAATTCATTTCCTAATCCATATCTTCTATTTTTGGCTTGATTAGGGTCGAACCCAAGTATTGAAAGTGGGAATTGAAAGTTTTCACCTCACAAACTTGCATAAGGAAAATAGGAAGTGGCTGTTTTAAAAAGCTATAGAAAGAAGTATCATAGAACTGTGAAATTGGAGAAATATAAGAAAATATTTTCAATGAAAAATAATACGAAGGGCATTATAGTAAGTGAGTGAATTGTAACGGCTAGTTAGCCTAGTACCGTTGGATGGAGATATCTGTTTTAAAAAAAAAGGCAAAGAGCACGCTCCCCAAAGCAGTGGCGTCTCTCCCGTTCTTAATCTTTCTTCCCATTTCTTAATCGGAGAAAGAAAAGAAAATTAAGCAAAAAATGGAAAAAAATCTTCTTTAACTACATTTTCCACTCCTTTCTTGAACTCAACACACATTTCCCATACATAGAAGAAGGGAAACTACTGGCGTGCTAGGGTTTTTTCTTTCTTACAGGACAACACGGGTTTGTTTTGTGTACAAGGTTCGGTATTTACAACAATGAATATCTTCAAGAAAAAAACTTCTCCTAAAGGTACCTTTTTTTTATAAAGACATTTTTAAGTGGGTTTTGTTTTAAATTAGTGATTGTGTTGTAAAATCTTGAACTTTTTCAGTTTTGATGGAGTGGAGGGTGCTCTTGTTTATTTGGGTTTAATGGGCTGCTTTGAATATGTTGCTGGGTGTTCATCTATTATAATCTAATGTCAATGATTTTCTTGTTTAGCTTAAGTTTTTGAATGAAGGATCAGAGTTTAATTTGTTTGCTTTGCTATTTTTGATGCTCAATTTGCTTGTTTTGGGTTTTGAATATATGTTGTAAGTTATTGAAAAGTGATATTTATGAAGGCTTTTTATTTTTTAATTCAACAGAGGCTCTCAGGTCTAGCAAGAGAGACATGACCGTTGCCACAAGAGGTATTTTTGCTGTCATAATTTTTTTTAGTCTAATGTTACCAAGGAGAATGCATGATTACTTCGGTCAATTTATTTATTAGCATGGTTGGAAACATTCTTTGTTAAAAGAATAACAAACCCATCATGGTTTTTTGATTTCTAGGGATTGAACGTGAAATTGCATCTCTTCAGTTGGAGGTATGTCGCTGTTTCTAGAATGGTTTTGGATAAAATCTCACTACTGGTCTCTTTATTTTTATTTTCTATAAGCTGAGCTTTGCAATGCATTTTCAGGAGAAGAAATTGGTGGCAGAGATAAAACAAACAGCAAAAACTGGAAATGAGGCAAGTCTGTTAAATGTTCTTTGTAGTTATGAAATGGACAACAGATGCAGATAGTTATAATCATGGGTTGGGGTTTGCATTATTGACCTACTGTGATCAGTTCTCAATCTTGGGCTACTATTATTTTCTAATGAAACTCATATCATGGAAAAAGTGCTCACTATAAGAAGTTGCAGATTTTAGGGAATGAAATGGTTTGTGATTTCAAGACTTGTTAGGAATAAGGTTTTACAAATTGGAGTTTGTCTGTAGTCACTGCAAAATAAAAATTATTGTAGATTTACGGAATAAGATGGTTTGTGTTAATCGAGGCTTTTTGGTAAAAATTGTTCAAGAAATTTGAGTAGTCTGTAGTTACTTACTGCATGATAGTGTGTGTGTGATCCGTCAAAAGTAACTTGGTTTGCTAGAAATCTTAGCTTGATTCAGTTTTGAGGATCTCTTCTTGAATAGCTTCTTTATAATTTAAGACTATCGCACAATATTTGTATAGGCTGCTACTAAAATCTTAGCCCGACAACTCGTTCGACTTCGGCAACAAATAACAAATTTGCAGGGGAGTCGTGCCCAAATAAGAGGTGTTGCTACTCATACACAGGTCACTTTCTATCCACAAAATCTAGTTAGTGAGATTAGAATACACAGGTCACTTTCTATCCACAAAATCTAGTTAGTGAGATTAGAAGGATCTGCATTTTGTCCTTGTTTATCTGATGTTAGTGCCTTGATCGATGTTCACAGGCTCTGTATGCCAGCACTTCAATTTCGACTGGGATGAAAGGCGCAACTAAGGCAATGGTGGCTATGAACAAGGTATCAATATTGATGCTATTGTAGCATAATGGTTTTTATCATTAATCCCATCCTGTTTATGAGCAAGACATTCATAAAAATGGTAGCATAATGCTGCTAGAGTACAAAGAAATGTTGGAAATGTATGAAGAATCAAGTACTCTTAAGTTATGATCTGTCCTTTGCTCCTTCTTGGATAGAGGCATTTTAAAATGGGAGTCATTCATACTCTATGAGTGCTTGGTATGGTATAACGTTCAGCAGTGATGTACCCTTGAATTCGCTTTTAATGTCGGCTATGGTTTGTTAGAGATGATTAAGGAAAAACCAAGTAGTACAAGTTATGATCTGGTTTTTTGTTACTTGTTGACAGAGACATTATAAAGCTCAAGTCATTTATACTCAATTGTTGTACTGGTAACATGTTCAATGGCTACATACATATCCATTGTTTGGCTTGTACTGTGTTGATAGAATGAGAATGTTAAAAATAACATAAAAATATAAATGAGAGTATTAGATGAGCTAATGTTGTGTCCCAGTGCTGCTTTGCAGTAGAAAGGCGTGAAATGGAGCTGGTTACCTAGAATGCAGTGTGTTCATCAAAGTGCTGTCATAATTCATTGAGCTTGTAGTGCTTCTTTTGAAAGGCTAAACGTTAAATATAGCATAAAAATATAAATGAGAGTATTAGATGAGCTAATGTTGTGTCCCAGTGCTGCTTCACAATAGAAAGGTGTACAATGGAGCTGATTGCTTAGATTGCAGTGTGTTCATCAAAGTGCTCACATAATTCATTGAGCTTCTAGTGCTTAACTTGAAAGGCTAATCTTCTGATATATGTGAAACCATTCTGTTTAGTCAACTGAAATAATGTCAATACCTTGTTTTTTGACAGCAAATGGCCCCAGCAAAACAAGCTAAAGTGATCAAAGAGTTCCAGATGCAGTCAGCAAAAATGGACATGACGGTAACTCTGTTTCTTTCCTATAACTTCCTCCTTGTGTAGTTGGTGTTCCAATACTTCTTCTAGCAATTTAATGATTATTCCAATGTTTTTTGGATGGATCATGGTGACAATGTGCAAGATGTCCCTTGGCATCAAAATGTTGACTGGATTTGAGTCATTGTATAGACTGAAGTTTTCTCTATGACTCTGATTTTGTTAGATAGTTCTTTATGCTGGGAATTCCTATTATCTTATTGAGTATTTTGCAGATTGAGATGATGTCAGAGGCTATTGATGAGACTTTAGACAAAGATGAGGCTGAAGAGGAAACAGAGGAGCTCACTAACCAGGTGAAATATCAATAGCAACATTTTACTTTGTTCCTAGTTTTATTTTTAAGGGGACTAGTTCACCTCTCATTCAACTATCTCTTGTAGGTTCTTGATGAGATTGGCGTGGACATAGCATCTCAGGTTTGTTTCTTTGGGATTAAATTGTCTCATATAATTTATGCTTTCTTAATTTGTGGAATGTCCAATCAAATGTGTGATTCTGGTCCTTGTTTTCAACAGTTATCTTCAGCTCCAAAAGGTCGGATTGCGTCAAAGAATGCTCCTAATACTGTTTCAAGGTACGATACAACACTTCACTTTGAATTAACGTTCATTATTTAACCATGTTGAAAGAAAAAAATGGTCCAAGCAAAATTAGTATATGGCATTGCTTCCTGAGTGAAACCCTCAAGTTGGTGATATCGTACGTGCCTTACTCCTCAATCCTTAGTACATATGAGTCTGAGGTAAGCATGTGTTGAATTCCAAGCTATTTTATTTTAAATTAATTTAAAATATATTACATGTGTTATTTTATTAAACTCTTAAATTAATTAAGGATATATTTTAAATATTATTTTATTAAATACCATTCAATTTTTACATTGTTTTTTTAATAAGGTTATGACAGTCTTTTAAAAATATTAGTAAGCATTCTTTTGTGCAATCAACCAACCGTAATTGTTTTTTTTTTTTTTTTTTTGTGAGCATCTATTTTTTTTTTATATAATTAAATAAAAAATAGTTTTTTTAAGAAATAAATTTTTAACCCATGTGGATTTACCTAACTCACAAGTTTGACGAGTCAATATAGATCGATTCTAGATATCATGGTATCAATATGTTTTTAAAAACTTCATCTTGAAATCTCATTTTCAAGCCAAATAGGGTTTTAAACTATTGTTTGGGTTTTTTTTTTTTTTATCTCTTAAGTTACTCGTTCACATCGAATTGAATATCTAAATTTGTGTTTATTTCTCAGCTTCATAACTAAGTATTTTGTTAGCATTAACAATTATTTTTTAAACATTTATTAGCGCATATGATCCCCATCTATTTAACTTGCACATCAAGTTTTGAATTTGGAATTAATATTTTGTTGTTGCTAGAAACATGTTAGTGACGCATAAGTGTTATTTTTTGTTGATGTGAACAAAAAATCTTTGTTGTGACGTGCAACTTAGCATAGGCTAGTTAACTAGTAGACATCTAAGTCCTTTTTATTAAAAAAAGAGCTTATACTAAAGTTAAGCTGTCAATGACTTGAGTATTTGATCTAACCTTTGTGACATTTTGAATAGTCCATCATGACATGCCTACAATTTTCAATTGGTTTTAGGAGGATAATGTTCAAATATAAATTTTATCATGATATATTCTTTAACATTAAATGCATTGCGATGCTTATGTAAATTAACTTGAAGTTTGCATTGTGCATTACTTGTTTGAACCTTTAATATGATATCAACATGCAAATCATGTATTGTACATCTAAAAAAATAGACATGGGAAGGTGTAAAGGCTTTCTAAATTTATAATAGTGAGTAACTTAAAATGAATTCATGCTTATAGACCTGTTGATCGAGTTATTATATGCAAATCATAAGTAGAACTAAATCTCAATTTTTATTATAGTAACTTACCAGATACCTTAAATGGTTGACTAAGCTTTGATTGGCTATCTATTTAGAGGTGGGGTGAGGACTAGAGAATTTCAACTTGGTATCAACATTATATCAATGGGTCTTTAAAAAATAACTCATAAATTACACATCCTTATACGAGACTATGGTTTTAAGGAGTCCATACAATTTGATGATTTCATCAAAATAAAATTTAGCATCTTTAGAGGTATCTGTGTTCTTGGTATAGTAAGTGAGCAAGAAATGAGTAACAAACACAAATATAGAATCATGCTAACATTAAAATTTAGCATCTTTAGAGGTATCTGTGGTCTTGGTATAGTAAGTGAGCAAGAAACGAGTAACAATCACAAATATAGAATCATGCTAGCATCTATTTAGGGGTGGGGTGGGCATTGGAGAATTCCAACTTGGTATCAACAATATATCAAAGGGTCTTTCAAAAGTAATTGCACATATGAAACTATGGTATTGAGGTGTCCATACAATTCAATAATTTGATCAAAATAAGATTTATCATCTTTAAAGGTATCTATGGTTTTGGTAAGGAATTGAATGGGCGAGAAACAAGTAACAAACACAAATATAGAATCATGCTTACATCTTCCAAGGGCAATTGGGTACAAGAAGAGACCAGTGTAAAGACTAGTTTTTTTTTTCTATGTTTGACATTGATTAATTGACCTAATAATATCTTTTTTTAACATAAAAATTGATGTTTCCTCTCCCAAAAGATCTCATCATGAGTCTCCCAAATCAATAAATCACAAATTGATATTTGCGGGATACAAAAGTTTGTTATCCTAAAACAAATACTCTAATTAGAGGTAGTAACTATTTACAACAAGGTGATGTCTTTCTTTCAGAGCTATATATACCCCTCTAAACTCCAAATATGATTCGGATCCCTTTTCAAGGCTTTTAAACTCTTAATTTGAATGCCTTTTCAAATTAACATTCCCTTTCTTATATGGTCTTATTTCTCCCAAATCAATATCATGCACATCAGGTACTAATATTTACGAGATACAAAGTTTGTTATCCTAAAATATACCTTTATTGGAGTTTGGCTCGTTCATTTGAAGAGTTCTTGCATGGTTCCTCATACTTTATTGGCTGTTGTTCTGCGTGAACAATAGCTGCACAATAGATAAGGTTTAATTTTGGATCAATTAACATTTTACCCTCACTAATGCTCTCCCAATTCTAGTTCGTTGTACTGCCTCATCACTACCCTCAAATTTTAACCTAAGATGAAAAACATGTCAAAAGACCCATCGTAAAATTTTAGTCTGATCCAATGGTTGGATTTGGAGATACACTCAATATCATAAAATTGGATAATCGATAACTTCACGCCAAAATCTGAATTTCGCATGCCATGTAATTTACTCAAATCATTATGGGTCTTAGACTAATTTGTTAGAGATTTCTATTCATAAAATTTTCCTTGGAGGGTTTTTTATAGCATTTGGTCCCAATAGCATGATTGTGCTCAAGATTTATACTGAAAATTAATGTTTCTCACGCAGAATTTATTTGAAACTTCCTTATATTTTATAAATAATATCACCAAAATTTACAAAATTGTCTTCTTTAAATCATTGTTTTATCTGATCATGATTTACACTATGCACTCAACTCTTTTAGTAATGTTGGTCATTTAGGCTTGCATGAGTTGTGCTTGCTCTTGAATGGTTTTAAATGCATGATTTAAGGTTAGGTCCATGATAGATGTAGACTCTAGATTGGACATAAAAAAGCATAACTCTTGTTGTCCTCAAACTTCTTTAGCCTGTTTTAGATAACCACCATGTAAATGCATGCAACACTAGTTTAAAGATGCGCAGTTAAGATGACAACAATTCTTATCAAGTGAAACTCAATAAAAAAATAAAGTCAAATTTGGTTTTTTTTAGATCAATCAATACCAAAATAGATCAAGTGTAAATGGTCAATCAAACACAAAAATCACAACATTTTATAAGTTTAGGCGATCCACATTTAATAAAAAAAACTATATACTAAATATGAATGACAAAGTTAGATGATGGACAAAAATATAACAAGAGTGAGAGGGCAAGACAAGAATTTTTTGGATTGCTAGGTACGAAAGTAATAATAATGACAATATTGAACACTAAGTGAAATTCTAGAGAAATAAATTCAACAAATCAAAGTGTTGAGTGATTAAGGTGAATATGAGACCGCTTGGATCGTGTTGTTTCTGTTGGGCCCGATGTGTTGGTTATTGCTTCTGCAATGGGGCTGCCGGAGTTGGTGTTTTTGCTGCTGGTGCTGTCAGTTACTGCTGCTATAGTTTGGGTAGCTAGAGTGGCTGTTCAGAGGGGGGTTCCAGGGGTGAGATGGGCAATTTTATGGTTTGTTTGGGCCTGTTGTTTGTGGCATATATGGCTGATGTTGTCGACTGTTTTATGGCATGTTTAGGAGGCATAGATGCTTGTGTGGTGACTGTTTAGTGGTTGGATCGTTTGATTGTTAGAAACAACTAAAACTAGATTTTGATACTAAAATTGACGCGGGACAACAATGAATTGAAGAGGAGAACCATAGTGTTCAGAGGGGGGTTCCAGGGGTGAGATGGGCAATTTTATGGTTTGTTTGGGCCTGTTGTTTGTGGCATATATGGCTGATGTTGTCGACTGTTTTATGGCATGTTTAGGAGGCATAGATGCTTGTGTGGTGACTGTTTAGTGGTTGGATCGTTTGATTGTTAGAAACAACTAAAACTAGATTTTGATACTAAAATTGACGCGGGACAACAATGAATTGAAGAGGAGAACCATAGTAAGATAAGATGAGAGGAAAAAGTGTCTATCACAAAATTGCAATTTTTTTAATCAATCATTAAAAGAAATGTCAATTTCATAAGTATAAGCCCTAATCAAAACATTATCAATGATTGAGCTGACAATCCATTAAAATAAAATAAAATCTAAAATAGGGTAAAACAAAGTTCAATAACGGAACCAAATAAAAATCTAATAAAATCAACTTGGATATGCTCAATCTACCCCAACGAGTGATGTATTGGATTATACTCTGTCGTCTTTGACCATAATGTGTGTGCACAGTCCGGCGTCTTCACCAATCCTTATATTAACATATTGTCCGCTAGGATCATGGTGCATTGGGATGATGCTAGTTGTGTTGGTGGTGATGGTGGGGTGTGAATGTAAAGAAGTAATGTGGTGCAGTATTTTGGGAGGTGATGTGGCACCAGTTTAGCTTTTATCATGGAACATCGCCAAGAGTATCTTTCACGGGCTAAGTATTTGAGATAGGTGTTTATTGAGATTTGTCCAGAAATTTGTTCAATTGAACTTAATCAGATGGGGTTCTGAATGCGTGGGGGCACTGTGATGATAAAAACATTCTCTGTTAACAGTAGACTGGTGCGAAAGCTTCAAGCCAGCACCTGAATGCAAGTTCTGCAAAGCTGAAGTTTTCCATTGACGGCAAGGAGATGTAAATGAAGTCTTTGCTCATCACTAATGATTTGGTGTCCTGGATATGTTCTTTGATGGGAAAAAAAAAAAAACTTATGACTAATAATTTTGACATTTTGGTATTTGTCTGCTCCCCACCACAAGTTTGTTGTCCTAATGAACTCTCTTTATTTGAATTTGAATGCAGCCCCGAGCCTCCCAATGTTGATGATCTTGAAAAAAGATTGGCCTCTCTTCGACGCGTTTAATTTGGAAAACTTGGAGCAAAATCTTGTCGGGTGTAGATTCTTACAAAAAGTCACATGCATGAAAATGCCAAGATTATCAGTAGCATTGTTTGTGTTATACATGTTCTACTTATGAGAAAAAAATAGTGTGTATATTGAAAGATATTCTGGTTTTGTACTAGCAAATGGTTCTCTCTGCATCATTTTTGAAGCTGAATTCTTTCTTGTACAGTACTCTACTGGGCTAGAATTGGGTTACAGGAGTGCGTGGTGGAACGGCCCAGAATGCTTAAACTGCCTCCATGTCCTCCTGGAGAGGCAAACACCACCTGAATACATGATGAGAACAAAAAAAAGTTTTAAGCATGGTATAACTTGCAGTCTCCGCTTGCAATTGAGTTTTAAATTGTGGTTGGATAATTTTTGTTTAAAATTATTAGTTTTTACTTTTTTTAAAATTGTTTTGATGTCTTAATATTAAAAATAATTTTTTTAAATAAAAAAAATATTATTTTGATATATTAAAAAAACATTTAAAAAACAAAAAATCAATAGTATTCTTCTAAACATCAACTTAATTTCATAGCCACTTGTTTTAAACGTTAGCAAATGTAATAACCCTAATATGTCAACATGGGCACTAAAGTAGTTGCATGTAGAAGGAACAGACATGATATAATATAAGTCAGTCTCGAGAGTAGTTTTAGAGTTCATTTATTTAATTTAATCTCAAAAAATAAAGTAAATAATATTTCTATCTAAAATATTTTATATTTTAATATTTTCAAAATTAAGTGCACTATGTTTTATATTTTCAAAGCTGGGCATGTTAGTTAATCTTTTCAAAGCTGGGCTTACAATGCCCTTTTTCATCAACATATTTTATGAGCTAAGTGCGGAGCTTTATGCACAAAGCAATGTAATACAATTGGCGTCCACAGAATATAACTCAGCTGGTACAAACACTCTTTTGATAAATATATATATTATATTATTGGGATGTGGAGATTTTGGTATTGTAGAGAATTATTTGCCTTGAAAGATTAGGTGTTTCATTCTATTCTATCTTAAAAAATGTAGTTGTGATTTTTTTATGTTAAAATATATTAAAATAATATTTTTTTTATTTTTAAAAATTATTTTTGAGATCAATACATTTAAATAATTCATAACATAAAAAATAATTTTAATAATTTATTTTAAATATTTTAAAAATATAATTTGTATTAGGTTTCCAAACAATTACATCATATTACTTTAGAAAAACTATATAAAATAAATTATCCATAAAATTAAAAAAACGGATGAGGTTGGTTTTAATTGTTTATGGAAATGAAGATATTATTTTAATAATTTGATAATAAGTTTTGCGTTGTAACTTATTTGTTGAGAGTTGGAATCTTAGTGGAAGCTAATAAATAATTTTAGTTCGTAAACAACATTTGGTCCGAATACTATTATTCTATTGTTTTGCCTCTTATAAAAAGATAAAAAGAAAAGAAAAGTGCAAGCTTATAGAACAATCTTATTGGCTATTTGAATTTTTTTAATTTTATTATTTAATATATAATTTTTTATTTCTTCAGGTCTCCTCTTTTTCCATCTTTCTCTATTATTTTTTTAGATTTTATTTAATTTTATTTTTTAATATTAAATTGATTATAAATTAATTTTTATATTTTTTATCATATAATAATTTTTTTAATTTCATCATTTAATATTTTTTTTAGTTTATTTATCTTTTTTTAATTCTATACTTTAATATGAAATTTTAATTTAATTTTATTTTTTAATATTAAATTAATTTTTTTCTTTGAACTTACACAATAAACAAGATTGTTTAAGGCAACCAAGCAGCTTGTAGCTCAGTGGTGTAAGACGCTGCTCGCCTTCTATCGAACTTCAGTTCGAGTCCCAGTGGTAGTGGGGCTGGCGAGTGGTTTTCTTCCTATGTTTGCTGGCTCCTCGCTGTGTGGTACGCCTGTCACCCCCGCGGTGCCTTACCTGTTCACTAGGCTTGCAGGATGTTCAGTGGACCGTGGGATTAGTTGTGGTACATTTCAGTGGACCGTGGGATTAGTTGTGGTGCATGCAAGCTGGCTCAGATACCCACATTAATAAAAAAGATTGTTTAAGGCAACTCCTACTTGATTTAATTTGAGTAGTCATGCAGCAGTTTATAACAATACAGTAAAGTTTTAAATAATTTAAATATTTTTTTTATTTTTTATTTTTTTATTAAAGTGTAATGAGATCGAAATAAATAACCTAGGTAATCTACTACACCAAAATGCCCCTAAATTTAAGTACAAAATCTAATAGAATCCCTTTAAAATACTGAAATCACACCAACCACCATTTTCATTTGGATAGCTATTAGGTTAGACTAGAAACACAGATATGCATTTCCCCTACCTCGAAAGTCCTCTTTTTTTTTTTTTTTTTTTTGGGGGGGGTCGAGGAAAGTCTATAGATAAGCTCTTCATCGAGACTCTTGTACAATTTTGATTAATAAATTTATATCCTTTATTCCACTACGCTAAATAAATTATTAGGAGAAGACTCTAGATAAGCTCTTCATCGAGGAATTTAGGAGAAGATTATTCAAATAAATAAATTACAATTTATATAGTTTGAAGCCCTTTATTCTTATGATAATTTAATTGATGCAAAGTCTCATATAAGTTATACATTTATATCCAAACTTTTCAATACAAGAAATATATTTAATTTTTATTATTTCATAGACATTGACCATTGATATAAGAAAAACAATAATATTCGTACATAAAATATGTTATCCGAACTTTGAATACGTAGACTGGTTCACAAAAATTAATCTATATAATATATAAATTATTTTTTATATTATAATTTCGAATTCAAATTCAATAAAATATCTCAAGATTGAGATTATCATGATTGAAAAATCTAATGAGAGAGGGTCTAAATAAAGAAAGTTTTCCCACCAGTGGCTTCTCTGTTGAAAAAAAGAAGGAAAATGAGGTTAGTTCTTGAAATAAAAAAACATTGGGGCTTAAAGAGAAAACATGAGAATTCATACCGTTGACAGGTTCTATTTTCTAACTACAGTCCTCAAATATTTGACCATATTCTTCTTATAATTACCAAAACCTCCTCGATTTCTTCCCTTCTTTTTTCCTTACCCAAATCCGAAATTAAAATCAAAATCCATTCAATTCGCCGTCCTAAACAGCTATACCCTCGATTTCATCAATCAATAAAAAAACCCATTTTGTTTTTTCCCTCAAAAAATCCAATTTCTTATTTTTTTTGAAGCAATCCAGGTTTTTTTTTTTGACTGCCAATTTTAATTGATATTCTTGTTTTAATGTTAAATTCCCGCCTTCCTCCTTTTTTTTTGGCTGTTAATTTTCTATTTTGGTGTTAAAGTTTGGTTCTTTTTAATGTTTCTGACACGGGTTTTTCGATGTTTTATTGTAGAGAGGAAGAGGAAGATAGACAGAGAGAGATGCAAAGCCAGGTGGTGTGTAGAGGGTGTGCAAGTGTATTGTTATATCCAAGTGGAGCTTCTAACGTTTGTTGTGCTTTATGTAGTACTGTTACTTCCATTCCTTCTCCTGGTATATAATTCAATTCCCTCTCTTTTTGCTTGTCTGTTGAACCCTTTAATGTTTATGTTGTTATGTGAATGTTTTTAACTTTTTCTAATGTTCACCGCAGGCACAATGAATGTTGGTTATTTTGAAAATTTGGGTTTTGTTGTAGTTTGTTAATCGGTAGCGCTATGTTAAATTTCCCCCCCTTTTTTTCTGAAATCTTGTTTTAGTGTGTGTGTTCTAGGAGATGGTTGTTTTGAAGAATTGTTGATCGGAAAGGTGGGAGTTGTGGGTTTTAGACGATATAGTTGATTCGGGTTGGTTTTGCAGTCGATGTTTTTGAAGGCTGATTCAGATTTGAGTTGATGATTGACTTTGGAGTTTAGAGTTTCGTCGAAGTTGTTGCACTTAATGTAGTTTACCACAGTGTGGTGGACAAATCGGATTGTTTCTGCATGGTGGAGTGCCATCTAAGATCCGCCATGGATTTGAGAATAGGAATGCATAATCCTGGTGTTACCCACAGGGCATTGAAGTTTCATGCTAAATTCCTTATCCGCCTTCCATGAATTATACTGAGTGCCAATTTTGTGCTAAATTCATAATGACCCCCCCTCTTTTTTCATGAGAAAATGCCTCAGTATTGTTTCGTTCTCTTTAGGGACAAATCTAAAAAAAAAAAAAGTAAAACAAATCAAGATGTGGAGAGAATTTTAATTTAGCCTGGATATAATCAAAATGCATGGTGATAAGATATTTGGGTCCACGTGCAATCTTGCAGGGATGGATATGGCTCAACTCATATGTAGAGGTTGCAGGTCATTGCTAATGTATCCACATGGGGCAACAACTGTGAGATGCTCCTGCTGCCATGTAGTGAACGTTGCACCAGGTAAATTGCAAAATTTCATGAATAAGATATGTAAAATTATCTCAGGACATTTGGCTAATTTGAATTGGTAATTTGCAGATTAACTTATTTAGTCTGCATCATAACAACAGATAGTCTTGCATGGTCTTGCCCTGTTTTTCTTTCTATGGTATAAAGTTGTAGGTTGGTAAGATGTTTGAATTTCTCTTTTCCTCAGTGGACATTGTCTGCGCCTTAACAAAACATTTTGAAAAAACACTAAAAGAAAATGTTATAGAACTATCAGCTGGGCAGTGATCTTAGTTAATTATATGAGCTGGCTTCAAGATGTAGTGGGAGGAATGGTGTCTTTTAATTGGACGAGAATGTGTTTTTAAAACTTCTACCTCACTTGATTGCTCATTATGCCGTATGCATTTCTAGCACTTGCTTTCTTTTAATAGTTGTTGACAGTATTTTCTAGATTCTTTTTTATCCGGTAACTGCTATTGAGTTTTTAAAGTTGATAATATTTGGAAAGATTAGTAGCTGTTGCATTTATGGTTATTAAGAGTGGTGGCATGGATTTACTTTGATATCCAGTTTCTACCAATTTACTTATTGTCATTGAAACTGGAAGCTGTCTGATAAATTTCCTCTGACATGCACTAGATTTTGGGGAATGGGCTCAGGAAACATTGCTTTTATTGGCTTCATTTGCTTACTTTGTATCATTTCATTTCTAAATTTCATATACCGATTCTGCTGAGTTTCCTTTAAATTACACCTGTTTGG